AGCAGCCAATTTAATAAGTGTCTGAAGAGAAAATTAAAAATAATGCTCCACACACACACTAAACAGGAAATGATTGTTTTGGAAGAAACTGGAGTACCTGGAAAAAACCCACCCAGGCACGGGGAGAACATGCAAACTACACACAGGAAGGCCGGAGCCGGAATTGAAACCTGCACCTCTGCACTCTGAGGCTGAAGCGCTAACCAGTCGACCACCGGCTGCCCATATATACATATACAACATGATATGTTTATTCATTTCAAAACATAATCCATTTAATAGTAAAACTGGATAGATGTGGGTCTCATGCACTTAACTGGTGTCCGTTTCTCAACTCATTATTTCTGTAAAATTCAGAATTGTTTCCAGAAGAAACATTTTAAATGCATATCGATTTTTTTTGCATTGTGGCCACAATGTCTGAACATTAAACACGAACATTGCTTAAAAATGTACAATTTTTAAAGGTAGGTGTGCTCAGGTCTAGAAATAAAAGAAGTGGAGCATCGGGACCATTGAGGGAATCCCACTTCATGATGGCAGCCACTCTGCACGCTCCAGTTATTTTTCCAAATCCAGGGGCCTCTTTGGAAAGTGCCATCTCCGAACCTTTATGCCACCTTTGTTGGAATATGTCATCACATCAAGAAGAGATGAAAAGGTGCGTCCTTCCCAACATAGGAAAGGACAGCACTGTTTCAAATTAATTGGACTCCACTTTTCCTCACTGAAGTCATCTTGCGGCAGCGGGTATTGCAATGCTGATGTTAAGTCTCAGTCTTGCAGAAGTCTTGAGCGTGTAATTTGAGCGTCTTCGGGCAGTCTGTCAACTATGTCGGTGTGCTGTTGCTTTAAATGTTGCTGCCGTAAAGAATTGTCTGTGATATCCTTTCGTAAAGGTTGGGCAAGAGTAACCTTTGCTGAAGGTGGCTTAAAGGTTGAATCCGGGCACATTAGCTAAGAATTTGAACAATCGTATCCTCCAAGTTCTTCCGGGTCACCTCGCTCAAATAAATAAACTTCATTTCAACAGTGACTGACTTTTAGGATCATTAATGTTAAAATATGACTGAAAAATGTCTCTACAGTTAGTGAAGGTTTTGCGTTGCTGTACTGTTTGATGCTGACAAAGGTTCTCTTTCTCATTTTTTCCGAGCCATCCAGCATCCTGGAACAGATTTTGGTCATTCCTAGATGTTGTTCTTGATTGGCAGAAGAAGTCTGGATTTTAAAGGGGGTGTCCCTCATCAGAAAGGATTAAGCGGTTTTACCGATAATGATGTCAGTCAATCCCAACACTTGTTGCAACATAAGCTCCACAGGGTACCAGGCAAAAGCTCTGACTCACTTTCCAGTAAGATGCTCGCCGTACAAACACCAAGAAGGAATAACACAATTTGGATCAAATCACAGCATTACTGTTAGTATTTCAACAGGGCGAAACATGCAGCAAAGAGTCTGTGAAGGCCGTTGGATCTGAACTAAGCATAGATTGGCCTATATTGCAGCAATCAGGGATCTGGATCAAGACATGCTAGGCCACATGCAGGCTTTTTCACAGAAGGCCTTCCTCCCAAACATTGCAGGCTGCATGCAGGTTTACGCATCACTGCCTGAACATTAATCACTGAATTGAACATTCAGTGACTGATTTTTATTCTAATCGGTGAGCAGCAGCCCATCAACTCATGAAGCTAATCGAACGACCAATACCTCCGCTAAGGCACCAGATAGTCAGACAGCTCAGATACGCAAACCAATTTGGAATTCATTAATTCTGGATAATTTTGATGAAAACATGAGTCATTGGACCAAGAGGCTTATCATAACATCTACACTAACCATTTTTTGTTTGTTTCTGACACCTTGTGATGTCTATCTTCTATTGACTGATGTGAATTGAGGAAGCCCCTGCCCCCACCACCCTTTTTTAGGGGCAAGTCTCTCCCCAAATTCAAGTTAGGCAGGTGTCTTGCCTTACCCAGGGGCACAGGGGTTCATTCAGTGCAGAGGAGCCAATAAGGTGTGCGATACCTGATCTAAGATCTTCAAAAGATCCTTCATCACTTACAGGTTGGCCCCAGCGCATGCCAGTGAGTGAATTACATTGACTTCCAGGAATATCATAAATGCCGCAAGCCATGGAGAGGCAAGTGAGGGGAGAGAGGCTCTGATAAATTCCTGTTTCTTACTCTGCTACTTGATTTGGTCCCAAAGTGACCCTCTCATTAGGGAGCAAAGCTTGAGCTGAGCGAGTAACCGCTGGATGCCAGTAATTGTGGCAGGCGCAGTGAGAAAGCGCAATTAGTGAAAGGGTCAGAAATTTCCACAAGGGTGTCGGTCTCAATTTATTAACTCGAAATGAAACCCCTGCGACAGGCTTTGATACACAGTTAGGACTGTACAAGGAACTTTTCAATCATAAAAAAAATGATCTTTTACATTTGTTTATTTGCTTTTAAACAAGCGCTACATTGTTGCACCGGGTGCATCAATAAAACATACTGATTATTATTCAAAACGAGTGTTAGATAACGGAGTTAAAAGCAACAGCAGTTTCGTAGCACAAATTTGGTTAGACCTCGGACAATTGCGGTTCTGAACGTTTTTTTTTTAAATCCAAGCCTTTTTTTAGTCATCGCATCGTACCGGTAATCATAATTAGATTATACCACTTCATAACCTGATGCTCTTATTTGCGATCACTTCAATAATTATTTACTGGAAAGAATGATCAAGTACATTTTATTCATGCTTGCACAATTGTATGCCAATTCAGTTTTTATAAATACACATCTGCATTTGTATAGCTTGTTAATGCTTCCTGTCAGCTGTGGCCTGGAAGATGGGATGTTAAGGTCCGACTTCAATACCAGCACTTATTTTGAATATAATTATGTATCTTGCCAATCCAGAAAGAATATCAAATGAGGAAAAAGTTGGCTATCTACTCCCGCCCTAATTTCATAATAATTGTGTTGGACTGTTAAACTATATCTATTGTGAGACCATCAAATAGAGTCATCATGAATATTTTGCAAAATATGACACACACAAAGGCTACCCCAACGGACTCAACACAAGATTTTCGACAACTGAAACGATCAAGGGTGTGACATTGCAGGTCTTTCACTTTTCCGAGCAATAACAGATGACTGTGAAAGTCTAGAAATAAATAAGAAATGACTTACATTACAAGGCACTTTGAACTGAGTGTGTGCTGTGAACAGAGCCAGATTAACAAGAAACTTTGACCCCGCAGCCCTCCCTTCAACAGTTGCTTATGACCTCCGCAAGGGGCTGGAGGCAAATTCCCTCCGGTGCTGCTCCAGTCGTGATAACGCTGTGCTCCGGCCGCTATACAGAGTATCAAAACCAGAACTACAGTAGACAGTACAGTGCCACATTCGGGGCTGTTAGGTGAAACGCGCACATAAATGAATAATGTCAACGGACAAATACAACAAGGGCTGTGTGAAATTCGGTTCCAGTCTCTTAAAAAGTGTAACGATATTTGCTCCAACATCCATAGCGGACAGCAATGATAACACAGCCGAACATGGGGATACGCTACTGACAAAGTTACAGTATAAATATGTTCTGTTTGTTTTTCTTGTAAAATCAGCTCAAAAGCTTCGGTATGTTTCATGCTTCCACTAGCAAATAAACAGTAATGATGAAAACACCCCCCTGCTAGCGTATTACGTAATGCTAATTTGGCAAGGAGAGCTACACCTCCATTCTGGTAATGGAGCTCAATGATTTGCTCTGTTTTCCACCCCAATTAATCCTCTTAAAGACAAGTGAATATTCCAATGAACTCACAATGCATCTTAAGTGTTTTTGGGATGTTTTATATCAAACATTAAAATACAATGACAAGTTTGGAAGGACTTCACAAATTCAACTGTCGCAAGTTGGACAGCTGAAATGAATCTGTGTCAATGTAGCCAAATGAGGGAACCAAATCATTAGAAACAATAACCCAGTCTGATTCGACGCTAGAATTAACGTAATCGATCATTTTGGTAATTGTAAATGTCTGTGTAAGTGACTCTAAAGTTGTGCTCAAACATATATGCAAACCTGGAGAATACCCTCGCAGGCTGCCAGTCATAAGTTGGGCGCAATTAGTGAGGTTGGTGGTTGACGGGCAGTGATGTGCAAAACTTCAGGTAAACTGTGTGTGAGGCAAAAATCTTTCTCAAACATCATGCGCATACACACAACACGCGAGGGGGGCTTGAGGGTGTTAGAGGCTGTTATTCATTACCCACATGACTGCATTCCACGGCTGGACAAAAGAAGTTATCACCACCATCACTTTAAAGGCGAGTAAGCGAGAGGGATTTAAGCAGGTTCTCAAACAAGATGCCCCCACCTGATAACCTTAAGTCTCACAGTTACACCATTCCCACGTGTCCTAATGCATTCACAAATCGGAGCGGGAGAGAGCGAGAGGGTGAAAGGGAGGGCGGAGAGGGGCATAGCTAAAATGTCTGAATGAGAATGACATGAAAGGATGGAGGGCAGCAGCTGAAACAAAGACACATTTTGCAAACATTAACCCTGAGTGGAAGTGATGGAGGAAAATCAGGACACCTCGCCTGCACAGGCAACGAGCGATGAACCTGTGGCAAGAACTGCGGCTCGTTAATGACGCAGCTGCAACAATGCTTTGCAAGGCCGAAAAAAGAAGGGCAGGGGGTGGAAATGTGCCCCCTTTCACCTCAGCAATTCTCTGCCTCTCTCCTCTTCATCCCTGCGACTCTCAGATTTACACACACTTGACTTTTCACCATCACTTCCAGGCTCATTCAAGAGGAAGAGAGGTGAAAGGTCAATATGTGAGGGTCAATAGGGATTATGTTGAAAATGCAGTGTGTTCGTCTTTTGGCATTAGTGCCGTGTGCGGGGCTCAAGGGAGTGGGACAAGGCAAAAGACACTCGCCATAACACAAGCTACAATATGAGGAGGGGGGAGTGTCAAACAAACTCACCTTTCTTAAACTCTTCCAGCATTGCATCCAGCTTGGTGTCATTGAAGACAAAGTGCAACGGGTGGCTATAAAACTTTGTGATGGTTTTGAGTGGCGTGCAATCATCCGGGTCAACAAAGGCCAGGTCCTTGACAAAGAGAAGGTCTACTATGTTGGACCTCTCACCCTCGAAGACCGGAATGCGTGTGTATCCGCTCTTCATGATTTCGGACATGGTGTTGAAGTCAAGGGTGGCATCCCAGGGTATCATGAAGCAATCTCGAAGAGGCGTCATCACAACTTCCACGGTCTTAGTCCTCAACTCCAGGGCACCCTGGATGATGTTGAGCTCTTCCTTGACCAGGTCATTGTAAGGATCCGTGACGCGCAGCATCTCCAGAAGCTTCTCCCGGTTGTACACGGTTCCGATCTCCTGCCCCAGCAGGTAGTCGAGCAGCTTGCTCACCGGGTAGGAAGCGGGGAAGGTGAGTAACATGAAGAATTTGGTCAGGAAAATGGTATTGGCACCAACGGCCAGGCCGTGTCTGGAGCATATGGCCTGTGGCACGATTTCCCCAAAGATGACTATTCCAATGGTGGACATGACCACAGCTATCAATCCTGAACCGGCGATATCGTCCAGCAGAATGGTCAGCGTTGTATTCACCAACACATTACCGAGCAGAAGCGAGCAAAGCAAATAATTCCCTTGGCTCCTGACAGGTTCGATCTTTTTGGCGTAGTTTTTCTCCCTTTCCGTGCCACAATTCTGAACTATCTGGAGTTCCATGGGGTCCAGAGCCATGAGCCCAAGGTTCAAGCCGCTGAACATACCAGACAGACAAAGCAGCATTGAGATGAAGATGACCTGGAGCCAGAAAGGCAGCAAAAACTTTTTCTCCTCCACGACGATCACCCTGGTGTCTTCGCCGTCGTGGTAAATCCAGGTGTTCTCCGTCCACGGGTCGTGCATTCCAGCCGCGGCAGGTGTGGAGGTGGCGATACAAAGGTAATACGCTTTGCTCCTCTCCGTCTTTCGCAGAGGTTTGACCTCGATCTCAACTATTCCCGATGTCTTTCGGTTCACAACAATGTTTGGTAAAATAATGATATCTGAAGTCCTGATGCCGCAGGGATGCAAGCCGGACAAGTCCTCTTGGCTGTGGTTATCCCCCGAGGAGCTGTCAAGGCTCACCCCCGCCCGGCTCCTCTCGTGCTCCGTGAAGGCAATCTTGGACCAGGTCTCGTTGTTGATGTTCTGCCCGTACACTCTTAATTTGATCCGAGAGCGCTCACTCACCCGCAAGTAGCCTTTATCCATGAAGGAAATGTCGTCCGTGTCCTCCAGACGGAGGCCACTGATGACGGTCTCCTCGGACCCTTCCTTGCCACTTGTCGAGGTGACAAAACAACCAGTGACAGTCAAGAAAATTAACGTCAACGCGCGGACCCGGTCCACTGACGCCATTTTTGCAGCGGTGGGTGCTGGGGATAGGGGCTCTGCCATCATGACAACCGTTGGCATGCAACCTGCTGAATGAAAATGACTTTGAAAAATCAGAACCAGTCAGAGTCCGCCTTCATCTCCGCCGAGGGCTGCGTTGACTCGCGCATCAGGACCTCTTCTTTCCCACTACGTGTACGACAGTGGTCCCTCGCCAGCCCAGGGTAACTGGCTAACTCGTGCCTGCTCTGATTTCCCCTCTAGACGGACGGCGTTGGGGGCCAATCAGAAGAAGGCTCCAGGCCAGGGGCGGGGCGCCCGCTGCCACAGTGACGAATCCAATTCCAAAACAAGTGCACCTCATGTTAAGAAATGGACAAGACCCACTCGTGACTTTGGGGACAAACGGTATTATTCAAGTTTAGGAGATAAATACCTAGTCAGCATAGTTACAACACACACACAAAACATATACAAAACACATTTTTCCAATGTCCACGTGCTTTTCTGATTTTCTCTTGTCAAGGTAAACAACACGAAAATTACTCTTAAAATTCCTTGATTATGATTGAGTATGTTGATTCACCAATTGCATGCTGCTATGATGACTCGATTACTGCAGAATAACTCATAACAATATGGGTAAAGTCTGTCATGTTTTAGGTGAGATGACTCTTGTAGGAAAAGTATGTGAATAACATGTTGTATGCACAAAGATCGGCTGGCAACCAGTTCAGGGTGTACCCCGCCTGCTGCCCTAAGACAGCTGGGATAGGCTCCAGCTCGCCCGGGAACCTTGTAGTAATAAAAGCAGTTCAGATGATGGATGCAAGGATGGATGGATGGATGTTGTTTGCAGACATATCGTCTTGGATGACATAGCCTCATTAACAGGATTTACACTGCATTTACAGACTATACTAGGTATAATGCATTACCTTCCCTCATCTTACCCCTTGCCTGTGTAATTGTCAACATTAATAGAAAGCATCTCCGAAAATATGAGGCATAGATATTCACAGAGCAAGCTCAAAAACATTTATTTTTATATTACAGTAACAAATACAATGATTGTGACGGACTTTATTGACTAGAATTGAAAAGAAGGCAATTACTGTAAATCACAAGAACTAGTATAACAATAGAAGAGGTGCAGCAACAAAAAAGAAGTGCACAATCGGAAAAATAATCCTAGTCGGCAAATGTTATCATTCTATAAATATTGCAATGATTCGAGTACAATTTGGAACTCTAATACAGTATTTCTTTTGAAAAGATGGGATTTGGTGTGTATGCTACTCGTCAACGGACGCTAGAGCTGCTTTTCCACAGACGTGTGTGACATCATGCATGCGGTGATCATGGCACCTGAGATGCACTGATGAAAGGAGACTTTGAATACAATAACAAAGCCTATGTAGGAATGGATTTTGTGGTGATTATATTGTTAATGTTTTATGAGGTGTGTTCTGTAGGGCACACTTTGTTACAGCTACAAAAGTTGTCAAAGTGCTATATAAATACAGATGGCTTAAGATCAGTTGAGTCAAAGATGCTCAAACATTGTTTTAAAATGTTTACTCTAAAATTATGAGCACCCCATTAGGATATGTTAAACACGTCATGATTTCATCTCAGTCCAAAGATGCCTCAATGTAGCAACAACATGTGGTTATAAGAAAAGAACAACCAATTTACCAGGTTTGGCCATACAGTACAGTACTGGTCTTGAATCCTTCAACCCTACTGTGCACTTTATTGTAATTGGACATCTACCTTCAGAAACACAAAGGAGAATTTGTGCCATTTAAACTACTGTTATACTACCACGTGATTACATTATGTTGCTGACATTCTGAACTTTGCAGCAGTGATGTACTCCCAGAATCACTTGCAGCAGGTTGCAGACTGCGTACTGCAGCACCCCCCTGTGGCTAAGGCTGCACTCTGTTTCTGCAGCTGCGCAGCCAGCTCAAAAGGATCCCCAGAGATTGCCTGAATGATAAATTCAACAAGGAATAGGACATCACACTTTAGGATTACGTCACATTTTCCTCAAGGCAATACTAGGAACTGTGCAAAAATGCATATTTAAAAAGAAAAAAAAAAACGTTCTATTGTTGTTACTTTCTATATTCTACACAATTATAAACATGTCTTCTGGTATCAACTGAGCCTCTGTGCCAGTTCGCAAGTAGTGACGTGTTTTTACTTGATTGTTTTTAACTTTATCAGACATGATTGTTCATTAAATAAGTATATGACTAAGCGCTATAAACGTAAGCATTTATACTACTGTACTTTACAGCAAACATGGTTGATTTCAGTAAAGCATGTACACTTGGTCTCACATCAGAGGACCAGTCCAAAGGTTCAACTCTGAATTCTAATCCTAGATCTACTATCTAGGAAATCAAAATTCAAAATCTGTATTACGTCATTGAAAAGCCTTCTTGTGATATAATGTATGGTCATTGATGAAACATCTCGTGTTGAAATGTATGCATTTCAAGAATAACCATTAGAGCTGACACGATAGCATTCCATGAGCTAGAGAAGAGAGCATTCCTTCCTGTTCAAGGTTCCCAGCATGACTCCACAGTTTGGTTATGACTCTGAGACAGCTGCTTGACCTTGTGCTTGTGGATGAGTGCATATGTGTGCTTTGAGAGAGAGAGAGTGTGTGAGAATGTGCAGCATGCTTACTTGACTGTGCGGTGAAGACAGTGGGCCTCTCAGGGCGTGTCCACAATGTTAAAATGATACCGACCTCTGGTGCTCAAAGTAACCATATGCATCTTTTATATACTGTATTTCAAAGTATCACTGACCTTTGGCTTGACTCCACAAGATTCAAAAGAGTCTCCTGGTGGTTGGAAAGTGAAGGCCTGCGCATATCTAGAATGGGTCAGGTTGGCGGCTAATTCACCATCTACCTCCACCACTTGATCAGCCTGGCCAGAAGCAAACACTTGTGAAATTTCAGTTCAAAATCAACTGGAGCTGATCTGATGATAAGGAGCGGCAGACCTTGAAGGTGTACTGACAGTCAAAGTGGAGAGAGTCCTCTGACCCTGCAATGTTTCCATTATAAATGACTTTACATGGTTTTGGGCTGCCTTTCGGGACCTTAAAGAGACGGTATGTGGCAGAGACAAACTTGAAGTCCCCTGGAATGTAGAACAGGTGAAAACAACTCAACTGTATGTCCAGCAGTATTGCGTTCTAGTGGTTGAAAATGCAGTTCTTGGTGCAATCTACCTTGACAATAATAATACAAAACACTGTAAAGACAGAAACAAGCATCACACCCAGAATGGCTTGCATTTCCTTGTTGTCAACAGTGATAACGTTGGCTTTGACGAGCCTCGGGGGTCTGAAACCTACTTCCTCAGCCAACTGTAGCAGATCTTTGTACCATAGCGCACCACCAAATCCCTCACCTGTATTGGAAAATTGCATTATCAGACGTGGGCATGCATCTGCAGCAAATGCACGGCAGTGGAGTAATAACACACACCCCAAAGAACTTTGTTGTTTTTAATTTCCTCAGTTTGTCTTCCATTGCTGTACATGTCACTGAAGAAAAACTCACCACCATCCTAAACATCAGTCGAGCAAATACATGAAGTTGGTTATGAGATGGTTGGTCAATTCCGGTGAAATTCGTTCAGACAATGAAATTAAAAGTGAGTTAAAGACAAGTGTACCTTTAGCACATTGTAAGCTTCAGTCAGGACTTTCTTCTTGTCTGGAGAAAGATTCACCACACAGTTGGATCTAAGTAATGAAAGGGAATATTTCAAAAAATTTCTCCAAATACGGTTCACATCTTTAAAATGTGAAACTGAAAGTGATCAGGAGGCAAGAAGAAGCACATCTTACATGATGATATCAAAAGAGTTCTTTTCCAGACCCGCCTCTGTTAAGGCCTCGATGTAACCCTGGACAAATGTCACATTGGGCTTCTTGTAGCCAAACTCCTTCATGTGAAAGTCCACATGTTTCCTGGCCACTTCAAGCTAGATAACATGAGAGAATTAAATACAGTTTGAGATGTCCATATGCAGGTGTTAGACCCCATGCTTTACAAAGAACGCAATCTATGATTGAGTTTAAACCAAAATATGAAGCTGATGAATGCTTCATTTTGGTTAGTGGAGTTTTCTGGTGATAAAACAGATTACACAAAATCAGTTTGGCACAAAAACATCATTGCCCATCACAAGAAGACCACCACATGCCTAATGAAGCATGACAGCGGCAGCTAGGCTTTAATCCAGACAGCAGTCAATCTTGAGTGAAAACATAGTTTTTTTGTTTCAGCTATTAAAAGACCCAGACATTAAATTGAAATTAAGAACTGCTTCACCAGAAAAAAAATGTTAAGCACCAGCCCAGCTAGCCCTGTAGTTGACTTGCGAGCAGTCAAGTGTGTCCCCAGACTCTTGCTCAAAGTCAAAGACAAACATCCTCCTTCTCCTCACCTAAAAATGATTACACAGTAAAAAAGGCATCAATGAAAGTCAGTTTGGTGTGCCCTATCAACCTATTAGGGCACTGCGCTCCTTCTGGTTTATTTACTTGTGGTTACCAGATAGGAAATCAACCCGCTTTTTGTGCTATTGATTCAGCTATGTTTGTGCATAATGATTTCTCATCCCCATCCATGTAGTATGTCACAAAAAAAAACAAAAAAAAAAACAGTATGTCTTTCTAGTTACCCTAAATTAGCTACTCTGGCTTTCAGAAGTGCTGTGATTACATCTTTTCTAATTATTCATTATGGCAGTACCATATGTTGGCATCTTATGAAAGACTTCTAGTGCTATTATTCATCCGCATAGCATTTCCGTTGTTGTTGTTGAACAATGGCTGCTGCACACATGGTTTTCCCATCCATCCATCCCCCAATGACTCTAACATGTTTTCCCTCTGTGTACTTACTCTTGTGGGATTCACTTGGGTTCTTAAATATACGAGGAATGTAGTTGCGGACCCATTAGTGGCGCCAATCATTTTTTTTGTATTGATTGCCTTCGGGGGGCATTGACAGTTTTGGCGATGGGGGCATAGGATGATGGTGAGATGTTCGTTTTTCAGTGAAATGGCAGGATATGCCTAAAATGCACTCTATCCTTTACAGGTGAACTGAAGTTTTAAATGTGGATGTCCACCTGTTCATGTTCCAGTAATTGTTTGCACAATCTCCTCTCTAGCAAAGAGCTGAAATTCAAATCAGATGTTT